GGTTATTTGACAATGCTCTCCCAAGATACAACGGCTAACTCGGCATATGAGCACTCAAAATCCCGAGTAGAATAAACGTTACTTTGTGTCTCAAACTCTCGAATCGGACACGGAAGAAAATATTCTACGAAGAATATTTTCGGGCTAAAGAAAGAAGAATTTCATAGAACAAAGTTATGGAATTGAATTGATTTTTATGTTATTATTAAATCAAACATGTGGAATTTCTATTTATAAGTTTCCAATGGTTGTGATTAATGAACACAACCCTTAGGAAATTAAACAAGTGAAGAGGTGTGGCCACATCTCTTCATATTGTCACACCTATTTAATCAAATAGGTGCCTAAAAATATTTTTTAATTTCATTCAAAAAATAATTTTATTTTAATAAATAAAATTTCCAACAATCCCCCTTAATGAATATTATTAATGTTACTACTTTTTAATATGGTCTAAATACAATGAACGTCATTATTAAAATTAATATATTTAATGAAGTTACTTAATTGACCTTGGAATGTGATTTGTAATAGTTATTTTGCAGGGGTAATTTTGTAAGAACGAAAAAGGGAAGAAACCTCCAACTTATTCACACTTTTATAAGGAGTATAGATAGATATAATCCATTTAAAGGTGATACTTAGATTACCAAATAACCCTTATAATATCATTGAATGATTATTTATTTGGGCGCTACTTAAAAAAATACCGCCAAACTATCCAAAATTATTTGTAATTGAACCATTGTTGATCATTATTTTTGGCAATAGTAGAGACTTGATCTTTAGACAACTAGATCAATTTTCTAGTAGTGTCTCAACATAAGACTTTCAATAAGACTATCTTTGTTTTAGTAAATTTAATCTATAAGATTACACCGTCTAGACTCTCGTCTTTCACATCAAACATTTAATTTGTTTTTTTTATTTTTTTCAATATTTGCTCAACGTTCAAAATAATATCATGATCACTATCTCATGATTATAATGTCATCTATAGATATATACTTCCATGTGCTTTTAATATAAACACACTGGTCACACTCGTTATTACAAGAATTATTTGATAACACAATTTTATCAAATATTACTTTAGAAGGACTTAACGGATTCCAATATCTTGTTATAAATAATTAAAAACAAATTCCATAGCTACTAATTTAGCTTTACCGGACCACCCTTAATATTCTTTTGAATAGTCCATCTGAACCTTAATGGTTTACTACTTGGAGAAGACGAACTAACTTCGACGTACATTCTTCCGATGTAGACAATATTTCAATAATTGTCATTCGCTCATTTTATAACTCATAAGTTATAAAATCAAATCAAAATCAAACATATTGATTTTCTTTGCCATCTTGTTGTATCTTGGTTGTTCATCACTTGATGATTAACCACTCACACATATTTTAACTTGGTTGTTCATCACTTTGATGATTTACCACTTACACATTTATAAGTTCTCTTATTTAGAACTTATTTATTTTCTTATTTTACAAGAAAACACAATATAATCAATTTTCATCAAGAGCGACTATCTTGTGCACAATCATTATTTATATATTCAATAGTTCTTCACTTGATTATACTAGGCCTTATATTAACTTAGGTACTTTTTTTACCTTGGCCTAAACACCCTCACATTTCTAAATATTAATGTGGTTAGCCCGTGATATCTAATTTCCCCCACAATTATAGAGTAATGTATTCTAGAATTTATCAATATGATATCCATAAACTTTTTTCAAAAGTTTCAGTACTCGTTCTTTAATTCATTTGTCAAAGTTGGCATTTTCCATCTTTCATTCACATAGCATTTAAATGCTTTGAAATCCTTATTTTTATTTTATTAATAAGGATACACAATGTAACAAAATACATTTCTTCTTTAGTTAGAGAAATATATCGGATCACCAATATGATTTAATTACAAATAGTTGTATTTCTTTCTCTCAAGAAAGCACAAAAAGAGAAACCTTCTCAAGATACTTAAATCTTGTCAACAAATAAGACAAGAAGATTTTTTTCTTTTCCTCAAAAAGAGAAAACTCATCAAGATACTTAAATCTTGTCAATAAACAAGAGAATATTAATCTCACCAAATGGTGGTTGATCTCCACTATTCAATATTAAAGTTAGAATATACAAATTCTAATCTTAATCGTTCATAATTTAGGAATGTATGTGCTAAACATGTCGTTCGAAATTCAGCCAAATCCAACGAATTAATTCTACAAAACGAGCTCTTAAGTAAACTGCTCGAATTTTATTTCAACAAAACATCCATTGTTGTTTACAACTATTTCGGATCTTTGAAAAATCAAAATCCGATCTCATCCATTCACATTGTAGATCATCATCTTGCAAATGTGATATCAAATCAAACGAACGATTCAATCTTCTTTTATGTTCTTGAGACAAGAACTACTCATGTGCCCTCATGAATTGAGCTTCTCTTTCTTTCTATTTCATTTAGATTATGCTTTTAATTGCACCGTGGTATGATTCATATATAAAACATATGTACATCAATATTATAATAAACATATTATTTGACATGTGACCACGACTTTCATATTAGTTGATCATAGAAAGAAACAATACTAGTTGATCATAGAAAAAAACAATAGATCAAGCATACTTTATCAACATATACACAGTATACACAAGAGTACATAATAACATCAAGTATGGATATTATTTTATGGCATGAATTAATTCATGTCCAACATAGTTGATTTATATAAATATATAGCATGTAATCAATATGTGTCCATGCAATTACACAATTCTATGGAATTGGTATGGCTTACGCAAATAATAATATTCTTAATATACTAGACAAGTCTAATCGTTCATAGACAATAATAAAAAGGTCAATAAAATCACGTACTCACAAATGTCATACAACATATTCGAAATCAATCAACTCGACGGCTCCACATCAAATGACAATTGGGAGAAAGTTAATCCCGTATCAAAAGTACTATATGCAATTTGCAAATAAATATTGCATTTTCATGAGAAATGTCATGTAGTATAGCACTTATCATGCGGTTTATGATACACTTATTCAAATAATTAGCATATACGCTATCACTTTATTGCATTTAGGATAAAAATATTTATATCATTAATGTAGATACACAAATATAATGAATATTCATTAAGCATATATATTGTATATGGTTTACCATTCTTCCACATATGAAAATTGAACTATCATGCAGTAATCCACCATTATATCATATAACACTATCAATTTATTGCACAAATATATATCTTATAATCAAAAAAACGTACCCGATAAATAATATGTTCGTCAATTCAAAATTTTGTGGGTAGCACCAAATTGTGTAAATATTATGGCAGTGCTGAATGTTTTAATCATATCTCTTCCGTCTAAAGTCCGATTTTGTTGATTCAATATGATCCGAATAGCCAACAAACTTTTCTACACTTTTATATTTCACGTTTTCTGAGATTCGGACTGGATCATGATCAAAGTAATCCTCGAAGTCCGAATAGGTGTGCGGTAAAAATGCACCTACAATGGAACACAAAAATTATTAAATAATATTTATGAATCGAAAATAATATAAAACCTCATCATTATTCTTCGACTCAATCTTCTTTCACCAAATTTTCGTGCATTGGACATTGGTGAGGCGTTAATATGCGACAACTTGCATTGGTCACGAACGGTTGTATTTTACATGAAAAGGTGCATTGGCAGTTTTGGCACCCTTTCGTGTTTTCATCATAACTCTTCTGTAATCTCCGATTATGATGATTTAACATGTTCTGGAAATCCAACTTGATTATCTTTAACTTCTGTGAAATGATAATTTTCCATATTCTGACTTGAACACCCTGGAAAATGAACTTTTTCCTCCAATTTGATTTTGTAACTTCTTGATTTTTGGCAGACTATCTTCTTCTCCATCCCGTTTACCAACGTGTGCAGAAAGCACAATTTACTAAATCATACAAAGATATCGTCTTAAGATTGTTGTTCCCGGTATATATATAAAACGGGTAGTCAATTTAGTAAAATGATCGAAAAATTAATTAGTGAAAATACGAAAAGATTAGTCGAGGCCACAATACTCTTTCCTTAAGACGATATTGCCCCACTACGGTGCTTACTGTTATTTGACAATGGTCTACCAAGATACAACGGCTAACTCGGCATATGAGCACTCAAAATCCCGAGTACAACGAATATTACTTTGTGTCTCAAACTCTCGAATCGAATATGGAAGAAAATATTATACGAAGAATATTTCCGGGGTAAAGAAAGAAGAATTCCGTAAAACAGAGTCATGGAATTGAATTGATTTTTATGTTATTATTAAATCAAACATGTGGAGTTTCTATTTATAAGTTTCGAATGGTTGTGATTAATGAACACAATCCTTAGGAAATTAAACAAGTGAAGAGGTGTGGCCACACCTCTTCATATTGTCACACCTATTTGATCAAATAGGTGCCTAAAAATATTTTTTTAATTTTCATTCAAAAAATAATTTTATTTTAATAAATAAAATTTCCAACACTCTGTTTCAAGGGAAAGAAAATTTCGATTATACTAGTACTCTGGTTTTTTCTTTTTATTGTTGTTGTTATTATTATTTTTTTTTTGGCCGCATGATTAATTTCCATAGACAGAGTACAAAACCGCCCAAAGAAGAAGACGAAAATGAATGTGACTATATGAGAGTTGAGATGGCTTGAAAGATTACATGACAGCGACTCTTATTCAGTAATTAAAGATTCTTTTATGAAGTATCTAATTAATTTTTTGGTAATAAAAATTGTTAGCTAGTATCCAGTTTAACTTCATTCGACAAAGACAAAAATTCTGAATTTCCTAGAACCTTCCCTTCTTCCCATCTTTTGTGTGTACAATATTCCATCAACATTATTACATATGGATTCCAGTGCAACATTATCTCCCATAATTCATGAATATATATACTTCTACCCTATTTTAAAAAAAATGAATATATATTATTTTTACCATTTGAAAATTTGAACATATATTTAAATTGCTACTACAATTATTATTTTCCGTAGCAAATTACGACCATGGATTACAAAAATGCATCCAAGCACAAAGATGATGGTATTGTGGTGGAGCCGCGGCGGAAGTACGGTGGCCTTGTGGAAAAATTGGCTGCCATGTACGGCGGTGGTGGAGAGAAGCAACGGCAGATGACGAAACTTCTAGTGAAAGTGAACATTCAAAATAGTTTGGGGCCGATACATGTTGTTATGTCGCCGGAAAACACCGTGGGAGATTTGACGAAGGCGGCGGTAGCTGTTTATGTGAAGGAAAAGAGGCGGCCGTTGTTGGGGAATAGTAATCCAGGGTGTTTTCAGCTGCATTATTCTCAATTTAGTCTTGAATGTAAGTAGTCTCCCTCCCTCTCTTTAACTTCTAATTAAGAATTAGGTTTTATTTTGCAATTAGTAGCACTGTTATTTCGAATTGCTAAAAAAAATATGTATGTTATTTTATTTGCAAAAACACCCTTACGATCTAATTTGTTTTAGCACACAACCCCGTAAACAAGAGAACTAATTGCGGAAAAAAATATATCTTAGAGGGCTTTTTTGTCAATAAAATAAGATGGGTACTATTTTACGAGAACAATAATTGGTAAACTCATTGAATACATGTGTGGTGCTATTTGTACCACAAACAAGTGTTAGGACACCGGGGTTTAATCCGGTCGAAAACCCGTCAATTTTCATAATGTGATTAAACCTTAATTCCGTAGATTAAAACTTATTAATACATGTGATGAAGTTAATTTGGGCTTCGTGTCACGGGCTGCCCATTTTTCCTAAGACGAAGGGAGCCCAGTTAAATCCAATAGTAGAGGATTCTAGAATATCTTCTAGAATTATACCATTAATGTAGAGATCCTTAGAGGATTTCTTTAGTATATATTTGTTAGGAGATCGTAGAAGTTAATATTAGCATTTAGATCAAGATGATCACCACAATCTATTGAGAAAATAGAATTGTATAAATAGGGGTAGACTCATTCATTTTCAATTGCAGGTTTGGGGGAGGATGAAAAACTAATTGATCTGGGTTCCAGGAATTTCTTCTTGTGTCCAAAGCTACGCAACGAAGTTTGATATTGCTTCATCTAGAGAATTCGTAAATTTTAAATGTCTTTGGTTGATTTGTATGTATTTGAGATTTTGTAATACTAAATTCGTCATATTGTGTAATAATTTCAATTTATTCTTCTAGTGCTCTCAACGAGCGAAGATTAAACATTGAATTTAAGTTCTCTCATCGAGAATTATGCATTGGGATATGTTATGTCGTCGGATTAGACTCATTTACCATCTACCGGTGAGGTCGTATGCACCGTTAGGCCCGAACATTGATGATGATGTTCAGGCCTAAGGGTATAAGTTGAGAAATTTGTAACATCCTCGTCCAGAAAGATAAAATGTAGAATTGTGTGTCAACTTATAAGCATGTCTCTACTACCAGTCGACCCGGATGGTAGGTATTATGTTGTTGTGTTGCTCAGTAACCGACCAGGTTGTACAATAGTAGTTATTAGTTATATAATTTGGCCCACATATTCATATAATTCATATTGGAATCACACCGATATATATGAAATATTAACTTACACGCACTTTTCATTCACCCCTCTGTATATTTTGTAGTTATGATAATTGAAAATTGTTTTTTGAAAAAAAAGAAAATATTATTTGTTTCAATTATTGAAATTGAAAAAGAAAAATGAAATTGCATATGTTTGTGTTATACAACACTAGTATTTTCTCGTGCGATGCACGAGATAACATTTTAAAATTGAAAAAACTGACCAATTTAATACATGACTATAACAATTAATAAATACATATATTACACTGATATAATAAAATTTTAGAAAACGTCAACGTTCATACAACTTTGATAATACAGACCCACTCGGTAAAGATATATAAATTTAACTGAAATGCTAAATCCCACACTATTTTTACCAAATCATGCACATAACTAAAAATATTTCTCTCTTTAAAATATTTTCTTCTTCTTTTTCCCTAACTTTTTTTCATAAAATCACACATTAAAAACATCCTTAGCATTCCAAGTTCGAATTTGACAAAAATCTTCACATATTCAAACTAAAATAAAGTTGGAATTTGAGGAAAAAAATCGAATTCATATGAATTTGAATAATTAAAAATGCTTAATGAAATTGAATAAATATTAAATAAAATGGAACTCATTTTTTATGATTATTCACGTAAAAAAAATAAATTTTGAGTGACTTGGATAAAATCATTTTAGAGAGAAGTTAGAGAAAATTTGAATAGAGATTTTTTTTTTTTAATTTATGTGTGGGATTTAGTAAATTTTAGTGTAGAATTTAGCACGCCCCTAAATTTAATTATCATAACATGAAATTGATTGTTATGTAAATGAAGCAATTTAATTATCATAATTTTCTACTTCCATATATAGCGGAATAAAAAAAAAAAAAAAGTGGAAAATTGTTCCATTGAGATAACACAGAAAAACAATAATTAGTAGAGATTTATAGCTTTTTTTCACATATTCATATTTAAGTTTCAAACAAATATAACAACTAAGTCTTTAATCTTCCAAACAAATATATTTTTTTGTAGTAATATTCAAATTTTATATAACTACTTTTATATTTCTATTTTTTTAGTTTGTTTTCCTAACAAATATGCTGAGATGTATAATGGTTGAAAAATATATTTATAAAGGTAGTGAAAAATTAAATTACAAAAAAAATTATAAAAATGACATCAGGATCTCTTAAGTTTCTCTAGCGTTTCTTTCTTTTCTATACTACTTATAAAAGTGGGAATGTTAGGGCAAGTTTCTTCCCTTTTTTGGGATGACCAACATGCCCCTATCAAAATTAAAATAATTAATAGTAATTTATAATTAGTCTTTTAATGTATGTTTATGAAAATAATTTATATTTTTTAGAGTTCAATGTATAAAGGCATCTGAAAAGATGAACTCATGTATCTATTAAATGTTAGTCATATAAGAAATTCAAAGAAACTCAATTGTCTCGATAATTCAATATGAATTTCAATTTTACATCAATTACACCAAAGAAAGAAATAAATGACCGTAACTTCCAGTTTCAAGTTCTCATTCTTCTTTTCTTTCTCCTCTCGATTTCTTTTTCGTCTTCTTCTTCTCTTTTTTTTTTCTTTTTTTTTTTTGTTTTCAGTTCTATGTTTAATAGTTTGAACCCTAAATTTTGAGACATTGATAAAGTTTTCTAGATTAATGAATAAATAAATCCTCCATATCAAGATCGGATTGAACCTCTGTTAATAAAGTTCGTAAGTTATTTTGCATATTTTACCCACTTCTATGTATTAAGTTAATTTTTTTTATTCATTTGAATTAATTGACCTAATAAACATGCATGGGTTATATGCATGGGGGTTATTGATTTAAAATTATTTCTACTCAGGTAATTCAAAACACGTGTCAGTTTCATAAAATTAATGGTCTATGCATGGGGATTATTGATTTAACTTTTATCTACTAAATTTACTTGCAATTACATTTTATTTTTCCGTTCAATTCTTTATTTATGTATTAGCAGTTAAGATTAAGATTCATTGTGATATAGTTTGTGACTAAGAATGTTATACGTGAAGTTTGTAAAAGGACTTTTTATTTCAATTGGCTTCTTCTTGTCATCTCAAATTCATGTATGTACATTATCAGGGACTCATAACAAAAGAAAGAAAATGTATTGATCCAGCAACTACTTTATTTGCTTAATCCAAAGATGATCTTGCATGACTTTGGGTTTAGCCAATGATCCAATCTCATCAAAGTTGTTAGTCTTTCTCCAACAAGACTAAGCTATACATTTTCTGGAAACCATAATTTAATTTTTTATTTACGTGGCTCTTGGTATTCCACATCCCGTTTATGAAAGTAGGAATTGAACTACCATGTTATTAATATTTGTTAATATTATGAATTGTGAGTGGATAAATAGGAAATAATCTGTTAAATGGGCTTTATATTGCTATTGGTAGTTTTGCATTAGATGATTATATTGGATTGTCATGTTTTAGTTACTCCGAGACTTCACTTTGGTGGCTTGACTATCTCTATTGGTTAGTGATATAGATTTTAGGGGAAATTCCACTTTCTCCCCTTTTACTTTGGCTCGGTATCACTTTACCCCATTCTATTCATTTGCCCCCCATACTTGAAAAATTATCGCAACGTGGTCCTCGCTGTTAGTTTTCTGACATTTGACCTTAACGCCATTTGATCTAAGCTCTAAAATTACAAAACTATCACCCCTCCCAATTTAAATAATTATTTAAAAAAAGTAATAATAATAAAATAAAATAATAAAAAAAATCAAGAAACGAGAGAACATAGTCAACGACGTCTGCCGCCATTTATTTATTTTTTATTTTTTGGATTATTTAACAATTATTTAAGCTACGATGAGTGGTTTTTTTGTAATTTCCATACTTAGATCAAACGGTGTTAAGGTCAAAGGTCTGAAAACTAACGGCGAGGGCCATATTGAGACAATTTTTCAAGTAAAGTCATATTCAGCCAAAGTACAAGGGGGAAAGTGGAATTTACCCTAAATTTTATGCACTTGACTGATGGTTTTATGTTGTCTAATGGTAGACAAATATAACATGAAATTAAAAGTTATTTCTCATGTAATTTATTTATATAAACTTGTTTCCGTGATTTTTATTTTGATGGCGAAAATTTTAATGCCCCTTGTTTGTTTTACCTTCTATATTTTTTGAAATTTTAGTGATTTTATTTGTTCATGAACTTCTTATATTTTTCAATTCATATTTTTTCCCTCTAAATATTAGGGTCCAATGGCTATAGCTAGTTTCCTTTTCAATTTAGTAAGTTTTGTGTTTACTCCAAATTAAAAATCACGAGTTAAGTTTTAGGCTCTGATTGAATCATCAGTCTCCTTCGCCTTCCTGCAGACAATACCTCCCACTTCCTTTTCAATTTAGTAAGTTTTGTGTTTACTCCAAATTAAAAATTTAATGTTATTAAATATTAAATTCCTTTAACACAAATCTTTGATCTGGTTCCCGTCACTATTTAGGTGAGTTTCAGGGAGATATTATTATAGAAAATCTACGAGCCATTCAATGGGATACTAGAGTGAATTATGCCAGTATACTTTATATGCTTTATCACTGTTATTATTGGAGATATTAGTGACAAATGATATACTTCACTAATTGCTTAAGCTTTCGGTTGAGGTAGTCATTTAACATGATATCAGAGTCAGACCAAATGAAAGGTCATGAGTTTGAATCCCACCGCCATCCATTTCAAATATTTCAAGTGCAATGCTTCAAATGTAATTTGATTGAACTTTGGAGGGCGAATTGGAGATATTATTATTAAATAATAATAGCTTAAGTTTTTGGTTGAGGTGGTCATTCAACAGTTATATTTGGTTTTTTTTCCCCTTTATAGCAAGTCGATGTGATCCGTCAAAACTACAAGATAAGGATGTTGGATGTATATCATATTTCTTAGACATAGCAGGCAGGGGAGGTACAACCGTACAGGTGAAGTCAACAACAAATCGATTCTCCGATCCATGGTGTAGTCACATGATGATGAAACTTATAGCTGAAGGACAAAATGAAGCCACCCAATATGCATAGGCAGAAATTTCAGCTCAATCTTGTAATCTCGAATGGTTTTACTAAATGGTTGTACATGTAGTCCGTTTTTTGTTTTGATATTTCATGACATACCAATGGCTGAAGACAAACTGTTTTAGTTTCATTAATATATTTCATTGTTTTATTTAGAATTGTAGCAGGTTTTACTGTACACATGTCAAGATTATGCTTTTGATACGCTCTTTTAGAATGTATTCAAACAGATAATCAACTCAGTGCTCTAGAAGAAAGAAGGCACATTTTACGACCCTTGAGATACAAGTTCACTTGAGATATATCTCTCAATCTTTGTAACATATCAAAGATAGAGTTCTTCAATGAATTAGACATAGTTTCACTTTGTGAAATTATTTTGTCATTACTTTGACAGGATGATGGCCTGGTACATAGTATGTCAAAGTCAAAATGCCCTAAGGTATGTTATTAAAATATGCAAGTCTTTTTTTTTTTTTTGTTTATGAGAACCTCTCTTCTTCTATATTTCGAATTTATCTAAATTCTCTAACACTTAAACGATCGAGACCATTATAGAGCTACTCTAGACTTGCGTTCATGTGGAGTGATACTCTTTGTAAAGGTTGCACGAACATAACCTTCTCTTTACACTATTGTGAAGCATATAGACCAATTAAATTTGTGTAGAGTATGTTTGGAACATAATTTACATTCATGCTCATTGCTAGCTGGAAAATTATGTTAATGCACAAGATTCTGAGTTTTTTGTTTATTTTTCTGATGTATGTTTCATCGTTCAATAAGAAAAAATAATGGAATTGGTTAAAGAGCGGGTAATCCATAATAAGTAGAGCCTGTTGCATAAGGACTAGGTGTGCCATGAGGAACATTACAATTGGATGATGCATTTTGGTTATCATGTGTACATTTGCTGTCCCACCAGAGAGTTATAAGAGTTGTATTAGTTTTCAATGATTTCACATAGATATCATTAACTTCAACAACTATCATATTACAATAGCAATACTAAACAAAATCTCGTAATTGACTGCAAATTTGATCATAAATCTCGAAAAATGTGCTTTCCTAGGATTCACCTGAATTTCAATGTATATGCAATACAAAGAAGATAAAAAAGGCATTTTAAATTTGATTTGATGTAGTTTACATTTCTCCAATATTTACAGAAGTAGTAATATGTTTTTGGCCTAAAACCAATTGACTAATATTTTATAAAAGGGATCTTGCAATCTAATATGGATACAGGAAAATTATTTTCACCATATAATAATATTACGACACGTGCAACGCACGTGCACCTTGCTAGTATATATAAAGATAAGATTGGGGGCAGGGAGAGAGAGAGTGAGTTACGGGAGCGGGGTTGGGGTATGAGCGTTCTCTTCCCATTCGAGCTGGTATGGCGCAATAGTATTCAACCGTACACCCTTAATTTAAAAAAAAAAACACTATCTATATATTTAACAATATTTTAACTTTACTTGTGATAAATTTCTTAAATTGAGTTGTAGCTGAAATGGTAAAACGTTATATTATATGTGTGTTTGAAAGGTGTAGGGGATGTTTGTAATGAGATTTTCTAGTTTTCAAAATTTCAAATGGAAAAAGTAGATGTATTGGTTTTTGTGTAGAAAATAAGAATACGTTTGAATGAAGTAAAACTTTTAGTTTTATATAGGTGTGGAAAATGAGAATATATTTGGTTGTATGATTGGATATGATTGTGACGACGATGATGATGGTGGTAGTTATTATTATTATTATTATTAGGGGCTTAAGATATAAGCCCCTGGTGACAAAACTAATTAGAACTAAATGACAAGTCAAACGAAATCTTTGCTTCACATCCTTTATTAAATTCATTCCAAAAATGCCCTTCCACTCACAAATTCGAAATTTGCATTTAATAAAATTCAAACTGCATTTATCATTTTTTATTATGCATTTAATATCTTATTTTTTCATCTGACATATTTTATTATATCTTTATAGACTTTGTCGTCTTTATTTTTTCGTTTTTCACTCTAGCATTTTTTACATTATTATGAACAACTTAATTTTTTTCTTTATTTTTAACATTTTACTGAAAAAAAATTACGAGTTTTTTTTTTCGTTTTTGTTAAAAAAAACACCAGATTTTAAAATATTATGGGGTACTATGGTATATTATGGTGTACTATAGTATACTATAATTTACTAATATTGAAAATTATGAATGTTTTTTTAAAACAATCGGTCGTAGACGACTATAAACACCTAAAGGAACCATAGTAATCCGTAATCACATACTCTTAAAACCCTAGCTCGCATTTTGAACCTTAGTCGCTACCCATTCGTAGACACTCATAGTAACTCATAGACACCCGTAGTCATTCGAACTCATCCAATAAGAAACCATAGATCCTCCACCACCACCACCTCCATCCTCTTCCTCTATGTCTCACTTTCCATCTTAATTAGCCTTCCCCTTCTCCAGACCCAACATCAAATTCTAACAAAAAATCACCGTCGTCATCGAAGAAAACCACTACCGCTCCCAGCGACCAAAACCGCCACCGCCCCCAGCGACCAAAACCGCCGCCGCCCATATCGACCAAAACCACCGCCGCCCCGAGCAACCAAAACCACCGCCGACCCTAGCAACCAAAACCACCGCCGCCCCCAACAACCAAAACCATTGTCGCCCGCCGCCCCCACACCAAGATCCGATCTAAAAATCTCCTAATTCCTCCAAGTCAGCACCAAATAGAGAAATAGAGAGATAGAGAGAATGAGAGAGAGAGAGGGGGTTGGAGCCAATGAAGAAAGAGAGAATGAAGGCCATGATGAGGTGGTCGAAAAATCAAAAAAAGAGAGAAAAGGCCTTGGTGAGCGGCGGAAGAGAGAGAGAGAGAGAGAGAGAGAGAGAGAGAGAGAGAGAGAGAGAGAGAGAGAGAGAGAGAGAGAGAAACGTTGATTTTTATTAGGTATAATAAGGGTATTTTTGGGTTAAATAAAAATAAAATGATGTTGATCAATTATATTTTTAACTAAGGATTTAATTATAATGTTCTATTAGAGGTTGTCCCTCACATCTAATTAGGTTTGGTTTGAGGGGTGTCTCCAATATTAACCATTATTATTATTATTATGAGGTTAATATAGAAAGGCAGAGTGGAATTATTAATGAGGAGAGATAAATGGGAGGGGAGAGAGAATGTGTATTTTAATGAAGAGAGAAGGATTGGAGGAGACAGAGTGTGAATATTAATGAGGAGAGAAATTTAATGAGAGATAGTGTATATATTAAGGGGTAATCACAAAAAAACCCATGACAAGGGCACTTAATTAAAAGAGGGACATTCAATTTTTTTGTCTTTCAAATAAATCTAGCTCATTCAAACTTATTTGCAAATAAGGAAAATCCTTTTATATATACCAAAATTACCCCAAATTCATTGAAACCCAATTCAACTCCAATTTCATGATTTACACCCCAATTTAGCCCAATTTCATCAATTAATCAATTTTAACCCTAATTTCAATTTTGGGGTAAAGAGCATAAAACCCCCCTGTGTTTTGTAAAACCTACACCAAATCCCCTTGTGTTAATTTTATTGCGTAAAATCCCCTTCTGTTTTATTTTTTCTTGCACACACTCCCCTTCTCCGTTAGTTACTAACACCGTTAGATATAGTGGTAAATTTATGAATTTGCCCTTTCAATCAATTAAGATTAAATTAAAAAAAAAAAAAAAAACTATCGGACTTCTCAACCCAGACCCTAATTTCATTACCCTAAATCTTTTTAGCACAAAACAATTCTCTGCACCACCCTAATCAACACCGGTATCTTCCACCATGGCCACCGTCCAAGCACCATGGACTCTGTAACTTTTCTTGCACTTCCGGCGACCACCGTTTTACCTTGAAAGGGTACTTCTTTGGCAAAGGTATAAGGCCTTACAAATAAATTACACAATACTTCTACTTATTATATTGGATGAAGCAAGTGGTATTTATAAATGAGTGGGATCCTTTTAAGAGTGGAGGAAATGAATAAAAACATTAAAAAATGTCATCTTCTTTCAAAGAGAAGGCAGACCTTTTGTTTTCAAGTTAATTGTAAAAAGTCACTGTATAATGTTGAGAGAATCATTTAAATATGTTCTGTTATCGATCTTAGAGCTTTGTAAAATAAAATCAATAAGTTGTAAAAAAATTGAGCTTTGGTACTATTTAATTTCTTTTAATAATGATTTTTTTTGTTCTTTTATCAACTAATTTGTCTATTTTTTTTTTACAGATGGACAGAGATAGTGTGTTGGGAAAAAAATATTGAGCGAACAAACTTTTCCCCGGAAACAAATTGGTTTTTGTATGATGAGCCTAATGGGGTAAATGTAGAAAATTCAACCCAACGTGATGTGGATATTGATCGAGACTTAGATCATAATGCTGAAAATGAAGTTGACGATAATTCTGACTGTGATTCATGGATGGCTGAAGATTTTGAAGGTCCAAATGATGATGATATATTTGTCGAGAGACCTGAAGACCACGCTCATCAAGAACTAAAAAGAATGAGAGTTGTCATGCAAGAATCTGCACAGAAGACCAATGCTCAAACATACGATATAGACCAACTCGGCAGCTCCAATGAACAAGATTGGTACAGTGATGTTGAAAGCGACAGTGATAGTGATCTAGAGAATTTGAAAGGTTCAGATCATGAAGGTGATGGGTATGAATTATGGAAAGAGAAAAACTACCCCAACATGAATGAGTTTGAGATGAAAATTGGTATGAAATTCGCTAATAGAGCCATCTTCAGGGAGGTCTTGAGGGATTGGGTAGTTAGGAATGGCTGGGATTTATCTTTCAAAAAGTGTGAAAGGCATAAAATCACAGCAATTTGTAAGAAAGGTTGCAATTGGAAGATTCACGCTTCTTCTGTTATGAAAACATTAGTATTTCAGGTGAAGAGTATAAAAGGGTCTCATAAATGCGCGCGTACCATGGACAACAAACAAGCCACATACAAATATATAGGGAAGAGAATTGTGGACGTTGTCAGGGATAATCCTTGTGAGAGCTTGGAGACACTTAAGAGGAAAATTTGGAGGGACATTCAGGTAGATTGTAGCTTGCACATTGTATGTAGAGCAAGAAGATACGCACTAGTGCTGATCAAAGGAAATGTAAAGAGAGAATACGAAAGGCTATGGGATTATTGTGCTACTGTTTGTAATGAGAACAAAGAAAGTACTCTCCAGTTAAAGCTTGATAGATCGGTAAATCCTCCAGCTCTTATTAGGATGTATTACAGCTTGGGGGGTTTGAAGTCTGGTTTTAAAATTGGATGTAGGCCTATCATAGGCTTGGATGGTTGTTTCTTGAAAGGACCATTTAAAGGGCATTTGTTGTCTGCCATTGGGAGAGATGCTAATGATAATATTTATCCGATTGCTATGGCATTTGTTGAGATAGAAAAATATGATAGTTGGCGTTGGTTTTTAGAAATTTTACTACGTGATATTGGACCATATGAGGAGAGAGGGTGGGCATTCATATCGGATAGACAAAAAGGCCTCATTGAAGCAGTATCAGAGCTTTTTCCACATGCTGAACATAGGTATTGTTTGCGGCACATGTATAATAACTTTAAATTAAAATTCAAGGGAATCAACATGAGAGATTTATTTTGGAGTGCTGCTTCAACGGCGAATGTGAATGAGCATTATCAGATCATGAAAGCAATTGATGACAAATATCCTATCACCGTGGAAAATGAAGTTACTCCGTACGTTTGGCTTAGTAGAATTCCTGCACATCATTGGGCAAGATCTCATTTCTCCACAAGAACTAAATGTAATGTGTTAGTCAACAATTTGTCCGAGTCTTTCAATAGCTATATATTGGAGGCAAGGGATTTGCCAATTATTAGCATGTGGGAGTGGATC